GAGTTACAGAAAGGAGGGGGGTGGGGGGATGGGGTAACCGGGTGATGGGTATTAAGGAGGGCACGTGTTGTGATGAGCACTTGGTGTTATACGCAACTAATGAATCGTTGAACACTATATCAAAAACTAATGATGTACTATGTGTTGACTAATTGAACATAATAAAAAAAAGGATCCTTTGATGCATAAAAGTTTTAAATTTTGTGTGTTCATTTTATGAAGTGTTTCATAGTAGTTGAAAATAATGAGTATTCTCTAATTTGGTGGTGCAAGATTCCACATTTTCCTTTTATTGTACAAATTTCCTATATCCTTACACTGTCTGATGACTGATCAGTAATTCAAAGAACTGTGTTAAATCTTCCACAATGACTATGGGCTTATCATTATGTAAGGATCCTCTTTATCACAATAATGCTTTTTGCCAGGAAGTCTCCTTGTCTGATGTTAATATAACTAGATCACATTCCTCTGGACAACATCTAACTGCTTTATCCTTTTCCGTTTCTTTTAAAGATTTTATTTATTTATTTGACAGAGACACAGCGAGAGAGGGAACACAAACAGGGGGAGTGGGAGAGGGAGAAGCAGGCTTCCCGCCAAGCAGGGAGCCCGATGCGGGGCTTGATCCCAGGACCTGGAATCATGACCTGAGCCTAAGGCAGACGCCCAACGACTGAGCCACCCAGGCGCCCCTCCTTTTCCGTTTCTTTAGTTTGCCTCCATGTCATATTTTTAGGAGTGCTATTTGTGAAAGGCATAGAGCTGGAATTACTTTCTACCCAAACCATGAGTATCTTTAAATTGGTGAGTTGTATACATTTACATTTATTATGATAACTGATATATTTAAATGTATTTATACTTTAATTCATGTCCCTTTAATTGCTTCTTTTTCATCCTTCCTGCTGTCTATTGAATTGATTGATCCCTGTGCTCACCATTGCTTCTTAGATTCTATACTTTTTTTCTGGATCCTTCCTAAAGCATGTTCTTTTGTTCTTTCAGGGGTTAGTGGGAAATTCTCCTACTACTTATTTGTCTGAAAATGAGTTTATTTTGCTCTCACTTCTTGAAGATATTTTTCTATTATTGCTGTCATTGTAAATATCCTTCTTTTGTAGATAATCTAGCTTTTTCATCTGGGTAATTTGTAGGTAATTTAGGTTTTCTTGAAATTTCTCTGCGACTTTGGAGTTCTGCAATTTCAATACAGTGTTGTTTTTTTTTAAGATTTTATTTGAGAGAGAAAGACAACGCGAGTGCTCCACAAGTGGGGGAGGGGCAGAGGGAGGGGGGAGAGGGAGGCGCAGACTCCCTGCTGAGCAGGGAGCCCTCAGGGCTTGATCCCAAGACCCTGAGATTGTGATCTGAGCTGAAGGCTGATGCTCAACCGCTCAACCAGCTGAGCCACTGAGGCGCCCCTCAGTACAGTGGTTCTTAAGTGTAGATTTAATATCCCTTCTCATGACAGGGTGAGGATGGTGTGAATTTATGTCTTTTATCAAATCTGGAGAATACCCAGTCATTTTAAAGCATTTTCTGGAATTCCTATCAGCACTGTCAGACACTTCCATTTTATTCTCCATGTCTTTTTAATTTCTCTCTCATACTCTCTGTCTCTTCACCTCTCTGTGAAACATTATGGGCACTTCTAGTTCACTAATTCTTTCATCAGGTACATCTGATCTATTACTGATTTGTCCATTCACTTTTTGAAAGAAGGGATTGTTTTGGTAAAATATAACACATGCACAGAACAAGTGCATAAAATACGGATGTACAACTAAATTTAATATTCTAGAGTGAACACTCATGTAACGGTCACCCGAATCCAGCAACGGAAATTGTCCTGCTTTCCCCAGAAGCATTTTATCCCTTCCCCAGAAGCATTTTATTTCTCCCAAAGTTAACCCCATCCCGACTTTCATATGAACACTTCCTTGCAACAGCATACATACATGTTTGTATCCGCCTTCCTTTGCTTGCCGATTTGTGTCTGCGCCTGCGTCCAAGGAACCCAGCTCCTCTCCACTCATCCCTGTCATAGCTCATGTCCACTTTCCCAACGTCCTGGCTGGTCTCAGTCCTTTTCATTTCCATATCGCCCGATGATTTCATTTAGGTAAGGAACAGAACAGGCAAAAGCATAGAATTTTCTATGAACAGGCAAAGAATAGGATTTTATATGAAGGGCTCACTAGGCCCACAAATTACATGAAAAGTTAATGGCCTGCTTTTTCAGGATCCAAATTTTACTTATTGTCGAATAAAGGTGCAAAATACAAAATAGTACATACGGTATGATCCCATTAAACAAAGACATATTTTTGCCCCTATGCACCTTTCCACACTACATATTTATCTAGTCAAATAATTCTAGAATTCTAGAAGGTCCAAACTGTTACCCATGGTTACCTCCAGTATGTGGGGATGAGGCAGAATGCAGGAGGCTGGGAAAGTCTATGAGCATGGGAGATAATATGAGCATGGGAGATGGACCAATCTTTCCACATTTTACTTATTTATTTAGATAATAAGCATTCCTTTTTTTTTTTTTTTTTTTAACAACATCAGTGAAAGTCACATCATCAGAAGAAAGAATGCGGATTCGCTTTCGGGTGCAGTAGGCCCTCCTCTCCCGTAGCTGGGGCAGCCATCACCGTCCGGAACACAGCAGCGCCAAGCCAAGGTAGTCCAGATCCTCTCTTCTATGTGTCAGACACTTTCACGGTGGGTTTTGAGCTCATGCAGACATGGCTTTCAATAGCAGCCCCCCAATTCAAGACAACACGTCAATGGCAGGCAAGTCTAATAGGCTGCTGGCCCCTCAAGATGGTGTGGGGTGCAGTGAAAGTCCAGAACAAAAGGAAAATGTAACCACTATTCCATGCACCCTGGGAACTAGCTGGATTTCTCACCTTCTCATGTCCCCAAGAGAGGGAGTCAAGGAGGAGACAGAGGGAGGTAATTCCATGTCCGTGTCCACAGGGAGCCCTACAGTAATCAGAGGCTCTCTTTCCAGCTTAAGCTTTGCTGACCCCAATGACATCTTGCAGCCAGCTTCTCAAGAACAAGAACGTCTCTTCCAGTCAAGAGCAGTAGTAGCTGCATGAAATCTAATAATGACTGAGGGCTGCTTAAGTATGTGTCCATCACTGTGCTCACAACAGCCCTATCGAGGAGCTTCCGGCCTTGTCCTCATCTTACAGGTGTAGAGACAGAAAAATGACTTGCTCAAGTTCACACAGCCAGTAGTAGCTGTTAGAACCCAACCCATCCATTCTGACTTCCCAACCTGCACTTTTCACCTCTAAGCCTAAAGGCAGGACACCATGCTTAGATGGTTCCAGAGTGAGTGGGCATTGGCCTGGCCACGCAGTACAGTGAAAAGGGACAGTCAGTGGAATTAGACATTCTCATTTTGGCTCTGTCCCTGGATAAGCCACTTCCTTTGAGCCTGGATATCCATATCTGTAAAATGGGACAATGCCTTTCCCTTAGGGTTGAACTGAAAATAAGAAATAGGCTATGTGGAGAATCTACTAGCAGCCCAAGCACTGAGGCACCCGATAAAAAGCAGCCACCGCCACCATCATTGTCATTGTCTTCCTCATCACCAGTTGAACTAAGAGGCATTCCTTTCTCTCCTTTTCCTAGTGAGAGGAATACAGCCTTGAATAGCCGTGGTGGAAACTAGGACGAGATTTACCCTGAGGCTTACACAGGATGGTGAGTGGAAGGAGAAAAGAAAGAAGGGGGCCTTACAAGTACCCCCATTGCACCTGACCTGTAAGGTGCACAGAGGGGTGCCCCTTCGTTCCATCCCCATGGCCATCTCCCTAGTCTAGACCTTGTTCCCTGCCAGGATTCTTGGCTTCTGGCCTTAGTCCTTGCCACTCTGTCCCCCACATAGCAAGATCCGTCACTCCCCAGCTTAAAAACTGCCCCCATCTCCTTAGTAAAGTCCCCCCAATGCTGGCCCTCACTCACCCCTCTAGCACAGCTCCCCCCTTTTTCCAGAACACACCTCCTCCTGTGCACAATTCCACACTTTGCACATGCTGGTCCACTTGGCAGGAACGCCCTCCCCATCACTCCCTCTGCCCTTGATGGCTCTCAGTCCTCTAGCACAGCTCCCCCCTTTTTCCAGAACACACCTCCTCCTGTGCACAATTCCACACTTTGCAGATGCTGGTCCACTTGGCAGGAACGCCCTCCCCATCACTCCCTCTGCCCTTGATGGCTCTCAGTCCTCCTCTGGGGTCCCACCCAAAGTCTCTGAGAAGCTTCCTGGAATCCCACCCCAGCCCCAAGGTTAGGGACCCCCTCTTCTGCCTCAAGCCCCCTTTCTTCCTCTGTTGTCAGTCAGTGTGCTGTAGGGAAAAGGAACATGATTCCCTGCTTTACAAATCTGTCTTCCCTCCTGTCCTCTCTTCCTCTAGGCCAGGGCCTGGGCATATTCGCCACACACTCTCCCTGGGGCTGGCAGGGTGTCTAGCACACAGTAGCTACTTAGCAAATGTTTAGAGCTGCATCTCAATAAAAGGAAAAACTTTCTAATTATCAGAGTTATCCATAGGTAAATGGGCTGCTGTGAGCTCCCTGTCAGGGGAGTGTAAGCTAGAGTCCCCAGCAGGGAGGAGTAGAGGCATGGATGTGAATTCACTGGTGGCTTGGATGTCTAAAGATGCAAACCATGAACAAGTTTCACTGGAATCACCTCGGAGTGTTGGTTACTAATAGAAATTCCCCAACTCAGGAGATCTGAATGCTACAAGTTTGGGGCAGGCCAGAAATCTGTATACAAAACATCATCCCCAGGAAATTTTGAAACACACCCCATTTGGGGACTACTGAACTTTGTGGCCTTTGAGGCCATTTGCAGTAAGGTTTTGTGTGTGAAGACCCTTCATAAACTGTGAAGTGCTGTCCAGAAGTCTTGCCTCCAAGATGTTACCCGAACACCAAGACAGGGGAACTGAATATTCAGGCTGGGGCTACAGCTCCTCGGACTCTGGGAGGTTGCGGACCCAGCCCTGGGCCACTCTGTTGAAGCTGGGTCTGAGACGAAGGAGTTCCAAACCACTGATGAGCTCCGGGACAGAGGGGGTGCCTGCCCTGGGAATGGTCTCTCCCACCAGGGGTCCTCCAAAGGGCACCGGGGTCCTGGAGGTAGAAGAGCAGCAGGAGAAGTGGGCTGTGTGGGAGAGCACTGGATGGCAGAGCACTGACATGCGGGTCACCATGTAGGGCCCCCTCCCTGCCTCCCTCTGGGCCTCAGTTTCCCCACCTATACAGCAAGGCTTTGTAGTATCTTTAACAGGTTTCTCCAGTTCTGCCCATCCCCCGATCTGCCTCTAGTGGGGATGGCTTGTTGCTTGGGAATAGGAATGAAATTTTCAAAGCTAGAATTGAAAAAAAAGAAAAGCTAGAATTGGCTTGTCCTAGGCAAAACTCTAGGTTCCCCTTAAGTAAGCTCCAGAAGGCAGTGGAGCTGGAATGGGGTTTTCCTTGCTCTGCTCATCTCCCCTCAGAACAATATACCCGCAGGCCGGAGAGGGAAGAGAGGGTTAGAAAGAGCACCAAGAATCAGGAAATGCAAATTATAACAGAGATATGCCACTTCTCACCTGTAAAACTGGTGAGAAGAAATAATTTGATAGTGGGGCAAAGTTGGTGAGATGGTGGGGCAGTTTCACTCAGATACTGCTGGTTGGAGGGTAAATTTTGCTGCTACCTTGGACAACTTGCATGATCTTTTTAATTTAAAAATGTGTAAACTTAAAAATGTGAACCAGCAATTGCACCCGTAAGCATAGGGCTTAGGGGAGCACGTGCACGCACACACAAAGACATGGGTATGAGCAATGAGGGCACAAACCAGAAACAGCTCAGATGTCCATTAGCAGAGACCCAGACAAGACAGATGTACTGTATTCGCATGGTGGAATACCATACAGCTTAAAGGGAATGAAAAGATCTGTGTACTGTAAGTAGGATAGATTTCAAAAGTTCCAAAAGGCAAGCAAGTTACAGAATGAGATACAAAGTATCAAAATGCACACATACACCCCAAACAATGCATCCACTATAGGACTGGAGTTGCTGGGAGAAAATGATCTGAAAACATACACACCAACCTGACCAGTGTTACCTTTGGGAATTTGGGAAGGGAACTGGGATTGGAGGATGCTGAACAAAGGGCTCTCTCTATTTGTAGTTGTGTGTGTGTGTGTGTGTGTGTGTGTGTAAGAGAATATAAGTATGTTATTTTTAAACTATTTTTTCATCTTAAGAAAACTTAAAAAGCATTGCTCATGTAATGTTTTCCTCGAAGCCTGGGAGCAGTGGGAATGAGGGAGTGCTTGCCCCTGGGGTAGAAAGGCAGGCCTCGGGCCAGGGCCTGGGCTCCAGCCAGGAGAATGGGTCTGCCTGGACCACCCCAGCTGTGGCGGCAACAGCCAGGCCCTGTGGGAATAGGCTGGGCAGTTTCCAAGCTGCACAGGCCTCACGATCCAGCCCTTGACTGGAAGCCCAGAGCCCTGGATCCTTAACACAGCTTGGCCACTAACACTGCTGCTCACCCCCGCTTCGGCATCAGTTGGCTCTTGGGTCTCAAAGGGGGCCTGGGCTCAGGGCCCCCTAAAGCCCTCCTCCTGTTGGTGGGAATGTGCTTCGTCCTGTCCTAGCTGCAGCGTGAGATGGATGGGGCCAGCCTGGAAGCTGGCGCTCAGGACTGAATGTCTGCCGAGGGTCTGAACTAGCTGGGCAGGTAGGGGCTGAGGGCCCCAGGAGCAGAGAGAACACGGTCTGGCCTGGCAGAAACCCCAGAATGCCTGCCAATGGCTCGTGGCTCCTGTGGTGCCTGTTGGGCACAGTTCTTCCCGTCGGGGCCCTCCCTGGCTATCAGCTGTGTGAGGGAGGTCACCTCTCTTCTGAGCAGTCTCTTCTCAGGGCTGATCGCCCCGGGCTGTCAGACAGTCTCGCATGTGGTCTGAGCAGGTGCCAGAAGAGCTGGACCATGGCCTCCTCCTGTGGACCCTCCTCTTTCTCACTTAATGCCGCCCAGGCCAGAGGAGCATTTTTCAGAAATAGCATCAGCCTGAGGAAGCCAACTGCAGTTGAAATGCATTCCTTAGCCTAAGGCCTCCCTCCAGTGCCAGGCTCCTGTCTTGACGCCTGTGATTTGTCTTTGGGCCCTTGGGGCAGAACACTAAATTTATCCCTTTCCAGTTTTCTGTATTAGCTTTTCCCACCATTATTTCAGCCTGCAACGAATACTAGTACCAATACTATTACTAATAACTACTGTATATTGAGAGCTTATTACTTACTAGAAACTTGGCCTACGGCTTCTCATGCCATCCTCACAATAGTCTTACAAAGTAGATACTGTAATAGTCTCATTTTACAGATGGGGAAATAGAGGCTCAGAGGGGTTAAGTCACTTGCCCAAGGTCACACAGCGAAGTGAGGAGTCTCAATGTAAGCCCACATTGAGGCCGCATGCTCTAAATAGTACAAGCCACTCCTCTGCGTCTCTCAACATCTGGCGTCCAATGTTTCACTGCCACTCCGCACTTTGATACACCTCAAAGCCATCTCTAGGCCTCTTCCAGACCTTTGAGGAAAGTGAGGAAAAGGCTGAGCTGATCTAGGACTAGTGAGGTTGGGGCCCCACCCAGGGAGGAACGTGCATCAAAGGGATGGCACACAACAGGGAGGAAACAAGAAACCGGGCTCTGGAGTCAGACAAATGCAGACTTGGATCCCACACCTGCCGCTTCCTTGCTTTGTGACTTTGGGCAGGTTGTTGATGTTCCTGAGTGGGTCCCTTCACTGGCAGAATAGGAAAAACTGCAGCACCTCCCTGCCCTGTTGTGTGGAGAAACCAATAAGATGTGTGGCACATTCACCCATTCATTCCCTTTGCATTTCTTGAGCACCTACTATGTGCCAAGGCAAGAGTTCTCTTGAGTTCTAATTAGAGCTCCGTTGATGTGAAAGTGCTCAGATAGAGCTTGGCCTGTGGAAGGGCTCAGGAACTGCCGCCACAGGCACCTGCGCACCCTAGCCATCTCTCCCCAAGCTGTCCCCCGCCCTGGCCTTACTTGTTGAAATTTCGATACTGGGCAACGCTGGGGGTGTGACTTCTGCCATCCCTCTGGTAGTCCCGGTGGCTGATGAACTCCTGCCAAGGACAGCGGTAGCCCTTGGGGATGGCTGTGTGGTTGAACTTCTCTGGCGGGACACCCTTCAGTGGCTCGGCATAGCCTGGGGACAGAGCAGGGCTCATGGCGGGCAGGCAGATGGGGGGCAGCTGGGTTCTTTTCTCCCTCAGCTCCCACTCCTGTCCACCCCACAGATATGGTTGGGGGAGGGAAGCCTGGAGCCAGGATGGGGGGGGAATATAACGCCAGAGTTGTTCCAGCAAAGGGGACCGATCCTTCCCCATCCCTGGAAGCAAGGAGGACTAGAGCAGGGGAATCGCGAGTTGGGGCACAGACTCTGGCTCAGTGTGTGACCTTGGGTGCATTGCTGCACCTCTCTGGGCTTGCGTTAGGTCTGTGGAGGGGCGTGGGGGATGGGGGAGGCAGACTAGACACTCTCTGGGCGCTGGTTCCTGCCCCACAGTGGAGCACCGCATGGGCTCTGGTCCCCCAGCCCCAGTACCGGGACCCGGGGAGGCACTCACCTGGTGCCAGGGCGCTGGGGCTGCGGGCACGCTCTGCGGGGAAGGCTGCAGACTGGGCGTCCTCGGGGCCCTGGGATGAGGCTGGGAAGATGTGGAGCTCAGAGCGGCAGTTCTGCCCCTCGGGGCCGTTGGCAACCTGGGCACAGGGGCGGGTGCTCAGAGGCCATGGACTGCCACACAGAGCTGCCTGGGCCCTTCCCCCAGCTTCCCCTCTTGTTGGGGCTCCCTGCATACTCACCGTCCCCAGCTCCACTGTTCCTGTCACCTTCGATGCTGTTACCTTCCCCTTGGCACTTCCATCCACGATCTGTGGGGGCAAATAGACCACAGGGAGGCTCAGTGCAGCAAGGGGCCAGCGTTCTTCTTCCACCAAAAAAGGGGGGTGTGTAATCTTAGTGCCCACATCCCAGGGATATTGGGGGGATGAATTAATAGCATAGGGTGCTAATCCCAGTGCCTGGAACAGAGAAATGCTCTCTGTATGTTAGTTGCTATTCTTATATTGACCTTGGGCAGATAACCATCCCAAGTCTCAGTTTCCTTATCCATAAAATGGGATATCCTTATCAAAGGATATCCGTTCATATCCTTTTCAAAGACTATATAGTCCTGTATGAGGGACGCCTGGGTGCCTCAGTCGGTTAAGCGTCTGACTCCTGATTTCAGCTCAGGTCGTGGTCTCAGGGTCCTGGGATTGAGCCCCACCTGGGATCCACGCACGCCTGCGAGTCTGCTGGAGGATTCTCCCTCTCCCCCTCCCCCTGCTCATGTGCTCGCTCTCTCTCTTCTAAAATTAAATAAATAAATCTTATAAGAAAAAGACTATATATTCACGTAAGAGTTTTCAGCCAATAAAATGGGAGTAGTGGTGATAATTTCTAGCTTATAGGGCTCTGTGAGCATTAAATGAGATGATACACATGAAGTGCTTGGCTAGCAAAGGTAGGTGTTTTGTTGTCTTTACTATTCTGCATTCTGCCACATCACCCCCTCTCAGTGACCCCCTGTTTAGTCCAGATATTGAGTCGAGTATGAGTGGAATGACCCCGAGTTCATTCCAAGTAACTGAAACTGCCTGCTGACTTTTTGAAGCCTGAGGATAAGCCATTCTTGTCTCTACCAGAAGACCGTTTTCTGGCCTTTTCGTTCTTCTAGGGGCAAGAAGAGAAAGAGTTTTGTGTTTTCTCACTTAGGTCAAGCTCAATGTCTAATCTAAATCCTGCTCACTGCAAAGTCAGCCCAGAGCACTTTTTGTAGGAGCCAGAATCCCTTCACCTACAGCTCGCCATGCCCATTCCACTTTCTGTTTTGTATCTGGGGAGAGATGCCTAAAGAGATACCACTTTTCTAGGATCACAGAGCAAGTCAGGGGCTGAATCTGATGGGAACATCACAGCCTTTCCAGCTGGAGCTGGAGGGACTCCCCAGGGGCCAGACGTCCTCACCTGGCTCACTCTTTGGTTTTAGGCTAACCACTGGCCCTCTCTGGGCCTCAATTCCCCTATAAGCACAATGGGACTAACTCACCACTCGTGGGCTGGCTGCAAACTCAAAGGTGAATCTCTGCACCCGGCGCTGTCTCTTCTGGAAGAGGAGGGATCCTCTGTTGTTGCGCAGCGAGAGCTCCTCCATCATCAAGTCCTGGGGCACGCTCAGCTTCTTGCCCAGGTCCAGCAAAGGGACTGCCCAGAGAGGCCAGAGTGAGCTCTTACCGCCAAAACCTCAGTGCCCTCGGGGCTGCCAGCCTCTTAAGGGTGCCTGCCTCTGAGCACTGTCCAGGGTGTAGGAGAATGCCGCTTTCTCCCCACAGCTGCTGACACTGGGTGTCACCATTCTGTGGGATCTTTGCCTACCTGGTGGGCAGAAATGACACCTCCACCTAATTTGCATGTGTTTGTCACTCAGTGAAATTGAACTCCATTTCAGATGTTCTTTGGCCATTTGTATTTATTCCATGAATTTCCTCTGCAGTTCTTTGCCCATAGCGGTAGGAGTCGTGAGAAATGGTCAGATTCTAGATTAATCTTCTAACGGTAAGCCATGGGTGTGAGCTCTGCCACAGGAGGAGGGGAGGTTTTTGGCCTGAGCCACTCCGTCCTCGTCCTGGGAGCAGCCAGTCACTGAGACAGGAAGGGCGGGGGGTGGGGGGGAGATGGGAAAGATCAGGAGCTCCGTGTTAGACATGTGTTCTTTCCATTTTAAAATAGCCTTTTTTTATTATAAAAATAGCATATATATGTGCACTGAAGGAATTTAGAAAATACAGATATAAGGGGAAAAGAGAAAAATACCATTTCTATCTCCCAGAGGTTGCCACTTTAACACCTTAGTGTATATCCGTTCATATCCTTTTCAAAGACTATATAGTCCTGTATGAGGGACGCCTGGGTGCCTCAGTCGGTTAAGCGTCTGACTCCTGATTTCAGCTCAGGTCGTGGTCTCAGGGTCCTGGGATTGAGCCCCACCTGGGATCCACGCACGCCTGCGAGTCTGCTGGAGGATTCTCCCTCTCCCCCTCCCCCTGCTCATGTGCTCGCTCTCTCTCTTCTAAAATTAAATAAATAAATCTTATAAGAAAAAGACTATATATTCACGTAAGAGTTTTCAGCCAAAACGAAGTCATAGTTATACATGGCTTGTAACTTGCTTTTATCAGTTAAAGATCTCCACCTGTGCAAGTGGACACATTTTTTTTTTTGTTTTGTTTTGTTTTGTTTTATTCAATGCCTAATCCATATTCAGATTCCCCTAACTGCCTGCAGAATTGGGCATATAAGGTTTGAAGAGCCTTGCAGATGTCCAAGTGGAGAAGCTGAGAAGGAGGGAGCCAGATATGGGAGCCTAGTGCTCATGGGAGAAACTGACCTGAGGTGAAAGTTGGGGCATCATGAGCTGACAAATGGTATTTGTTGTTGTTTGATGAAGACCATTACATTTCTTTCTTTTTTCAGAGTTAGGACTCATCGTGATAGCCACATAGAGGGTTTCCAGGGCTGATGGCTATCCTTAATAGTTTGGAGCCCGTCCATATCCTTTGTGTTTCCCCCACTGGCAAAACACCCACTTTGACACACTTCCCAACAAGGAGAGGCTTTGGGAGGAAAGGGGTGACGGTGGGGTGAGGACACTGGTAGGAAAAGGATACGTATGGACAGCATGGCCAGAGTTGTCCACCTCTAAAATCGGATACACGGAGGTTCATGTTCCAGCTCTATAAATGGTGTTTAGAGTTGGGAGCCTGGGTGAGATCACCAGGGTTGTGAGGGGGAAAGAGATCCGAAGCCTGAGCCCCAGGCTGGCTGCTGGCATCCAGACCGAGGAGGTGAGGAACCAGCCACGGAGCCTGGCAAGGGGTGCCCCGTGAGGCAGGAGGAAAGCCAGAGTGTGGTGCCCTGGAAACCAAGGGATAACAGCGTTTTGGGGAGGATGGAGTGCTCACGGAGCCGAAAACTGACTATCCTCTTTAGTGTCGGGGCATTGTTATTGGTCATCTTCACAAAAGTAGTTTGTATGGAGTGTTTGGGTGTGAAAACTGTATTGGAAAGTGTTAAGAGAAAATGGACAGAGGAGCATTTTAACCACATCTCGAGGAAGCAGTGAACCAAATTGAGAATGTGAGATATTTTACAGGGCAGCTGGCCTGGGTTCTTTAAAGGAGGGAATGGCCTGGAAAAAAAAAAAACGATAGGGCAGGGCAGGAGTGGGGCTTATAGATTCAAGGAGCTTGAAGAGCCGTGGCCACCAGATAAATAGTGGTCCTTCTTGGAGCCTCATTAACACAAACTAGAAAATTGGAGAAAGTTGACTGTGGGACTGGTCATTAGGTGGTATTAAAGTTGCTAATTTTGTTCAGTGTGCTACCGTGTTTGTGGCATGTAAGGAAATGTCTTTATTATTTCTGGTGCATCCTGAAGTATGGAGGGGATAAAATGACAGGCTCTTTGGGTTTTGCTTTGGACTCCAGGAACAAAAGGAGGGCCATGAGGATTTGCACTCCCTATTTTTGTGTGTTTGGAAGTGAGCTTAATAAAATGTTAGAGAGAGAGAGGAGGTGAGAAAGTACAGACAACAGCTTTGAGGAGTTGTGCTCCATAGGACCGAGGAAGCAGGAGAATCAAGAGGTGTGTGTTTTTAAAAGGGAGAAATAAAAGCATGTTTTTTAGCTGATGGGAAATTTTGACAATACAATAGAGAGGGAAGACTGCCTGGAAGAATGTCCTTGAGCAGGACAGAGGGGAGGGGAGGGGAGGGTGTGGACCGGAAGAGGTCATCCTCCACACGGGGAGGGGAAGGAAAACCGAGAATACGGACACAGATGCGAGCACAGGGCCAGGTATGGAGGAGGGAGCTGGCAGAGGTGCTGTTTCGGTTCCTTCACTCTCCTCAGTGCAATAGGAAGCAAGGTCATCAGCTGAGAAGGAGGACAGGGGAGGAGGCATCGGGAGTTTGGGGCCAGAGGTTGCCGCCATCGTCTAAGTGAGTCCTATGGGACAGGGAGATGGACGGGGCTGCCAGGCAGAATCAGGGGGCCACGCAGGTGCTGTGATTCATTCCAGTCAATGGAATCCAAACTGGCTTTTAAAAAAGGAGGCTCGGTGGTTTTTTAATTCTTTCAGCAAATATAGAGAGAAGACCTCCTACATGTTAGGAATAGGAAGAGATCCATTGTAGGTTAAGAGGGGGGAAAAAGTAAGTTTCAGAAGAATCTGTATTCTAAGATCCCACTCATTTATTTAAAAAAGTAAGTACTATATGTTTATGCATGCAGTGAAAAATCTGCACAGAGGCATGCCGAATATCAGTAGTGACTATTTATAGGATGTAGGAAGAGGAGGGCTGGAAATTGCACTATTTTTTTTTAACAAGAAAGGGTACTACATACTAAAAGCATGAAAGACTATTTATATCTAAATACATAATAAAAAGTCCCCTGACATCATATTATCAAATACTACCAGATGAATTGAGCTCAATATTTTAAAAAAAAGTTATAGATAAAGTCTATTTGATGAAACAGTTCTATTTCTAGGCATTCATTCTTAGGGAGAAAAGTTGAATAAACATGCCTGAAGACAGACATACAAGGATGTTGATTGCACTGAGGTTTCAGATTGTGAAAACCGGGCATCCGTGTTGTGGGGGCGCTGCCCAGATGCCCTTCATCAGTGGCTCAGGGTCACAACTGCCCCCCTTCTGCAGAGGGCTGCCCTGCTGAGCAGAAGCGTTCATGGCCTCCTCGCTGAAGACAGGGTGAATTCTGTGGAGCCATTCGTGCTCTGGAGCTCCCACGGGATCAGACTGAACCTGGGCTAACAGCTGAGCCCACATCCTTGCTTAGCAATTTCCCCTGCCCTATCCTGCTTCTGTCATTTCCCTCTTCCTGAGGGCGTGACCTCAATCAGTCACTTGTGTGAGAATCCTCAGCTCTGCTCCTAATGGTCCAACCTGAGATGAACCTTCCTGACCATCAATATGGTGTGTGCATATATCAATATACTTAATATATTACATGCTGGGGGAGCAGGGGGAGGGGGCTGAGAGATACATCATACCAGGATGGAAAGAAGTCTGTGGTAGGCTGCTAAGTGGAAAAAAAAGCAAGCTGAAGAATACAGCGTAGAGTACTTAGCCCACATATATATGTGTTTTTATAAATATGTTTATATATGAACAGAAGATGGATTCACACAAATATGTTAACAGTGGTTATCTCCAGATGGTCCCATTATGAGGAACTTTCACTTTCAAAGTCATTCATGTCTGTTTTGTCCGAATATCTTATAAAAGGGGTGTATTATTTGTACAACTGTGTAGTAAAGAAGCAGCTCTGGAGACAAAGAGATCTGGAGTCCAATCTCAGCTCTACCAACAATTAGCTATGTGACCACCTAGCTCCTCTGAACCTTGGCTTGCTCGTCAGCAAAACAGGGGCAACAATATCTAACTTAGAGAGTTGTTGTGAGGGTTATATAACATAAAGCACAGAAGCTCTTAGCACAGGATCTGACACTGATTAAGTACATAATAATGGTGTTAGTAGTAGTATTACAGTGGCTGTCTTTTCATGGTAAGACCATGAGAGTTTTTTTTCTTTCTACTTTTCTTTAGTTTCAGAACTGTCTTGAGTTAATATCCTAGCAATGGCCAACAATTTATGTATTTCCAGTCTGGCATAAATGATATGGGCCCACATTTGGGGGACTAATTAATTAATTACTTAGCCAAGGGAAAAGAGAATGCATTGCCTGGTTCTTCTAGTTAGAGCATCAATACCTCACGAAGTTGTATGTTAGCACCCAAAATCATGTAATTAAAAAAAAGAAACTTGACCCCCACAAAAGGCAGCAAGAACACACAAAATAGGTTAGGACCCCTCCCATATAAAGTCATACAAGAGGATAAATACTTAGAAGCTGCATGGGGCAAAACCTCAGTGGTGTCCTTACGGGACGGTTTGTCAGAGCTTGGGTCACGGTCCATGTGCTCCAGAATTCCCCGGGCACTTGTCTCAAAGGCGCATGTCCGGCCCCCTCTCCAGGTCCACTGAATCAGGATCCTGGGGGTGGAAGCTGGGAATCTGCATTTTTAGCCAACAGCACCTCTCACCATCATTTGCACTATAGGATGAGAGCCCTGACCTCGTTGAATTTGTTTTTAAAATACTCGAAATCCCCATTTCAAGCCTGGGTGGCTCAGTCAGTTAAGTGTCTGCCTTCAGCTCAGGTCATAATCTTGAGGTCCTGGGATCGAGCCCCGCGTTGGGCTCCACACTCAGTGGGGAGTCTGCTTCTCCCTCTCCCTCTGTGTGCACACTCGTTCTATCATCCTTTCAAATAAATAAATAAAATCTTTTTTAAAAATTAAAAAAAAAATACTTGCAATGCTCTGAAGTAGGCCAAATTAATAGACTCCAAAATTATGCCGAGTTCTGGAGGAGGTCTTATATGGGGATAAACATGTATTTTAGCTGATTTCTTCGTTGGGTGAGCCTACTTTTAAGTGAAATGGTCTGAGTCACACTGGGGAGCCTGCTCTGGCCAGCCTGTCCCCACTCTCCCCTGACAATTGTCTCCTGCCACGGGGGCTCTGGGAGACCCACAGTGACAGGAAGCAAGGGCAAGTGTGGGGGGGAGCTTGGGGCCACAGTTAGGGCTGGAACTGGGACCAGAGCCCTCAGTACTCAATCTGGGGCTGAGGTAAGGACTTAGTTAGGCCAAGGGCCCAGTGTAAGGCATTCAGTCTCACCATGTGGGTGTGTGGGCATCAGGGCAAGGCCCCTCCCAATGCTTTGGGAAGTGTCCCAACCCAAGTGGCAGATTCCACAATGCTCCCTCAGGGCTGGCCTGGAACTCACACCTGTTTGCCCAGGCCTCAGGCCAACAGGCCCGAGTGGCTACACTTTGGGACCAGGAAAGGATGGGATCTGAGGACCGTACAAGGGCTGAGTCCACCTTACCTGGTCCAGTGAGGTCCCCCATGGCAGCCATCACTGGCCCCTTCTGCTCCTTAGGGATCATCCTGTGGAAGAGAGATGCCTGCAAATGGCCAGCCCCCCTGCATCCCTCCCCAGACATCCTCCCAGTCCCTGGTCCACCCAGCCTCAGCTCTGAACTGCCTTGGCCCACCCCAGTCTCAGGGAAGGGCTCTGAGCTGGACAGGGCTTTGGGGTCTCTTTGTACAGAGGAGGAGACTGAGGTCCAGGGAAGGCAAGGGAGGTGCTAGAAGCCACACAAATCTGCTTCCCATGTTGCCAGGGAGGCATTCTTTCTTCAGGGGGCAATCTCTGGGACACGAGGGGTAGGGGGTGGGGGTCTCAGACAACTGTCATCTGCTGACGCAGATGAACTCTAATCAGAGGCTGAAGGAGGTTTAAGTCAGGGAGAGGAGGATATGGATGGGTTGTTGGCCTGGGGCTACACTGGGGTCTACAAGGCTGATCCTGTCCTTCTGTCCCCAGTACTTGGCTCTGAGGCTTGAGGGCACAGGCTAGTCCAAGGAAGCCGAGAGATCCATCACCCCTTTCCCCATGTCCCATTCCCCATTCCTCAGCTGACTTGCAGGGTGCTCTCCTTCACCCTTCTCTACCTCCCCCTTTATCCCCCCTCCCCATTTGTACCTCATGGCAGTTTCCAGCGATCTTGGAAGAGATTTACAAACAAAATGAGGTCCAGAGCCCCAGAGAATCCCTGTAGGTTCCAAATCCAGATTCCCTAACTTGCCCCCAGGAGAGAAGGCAGAGCTCTTGAGTCTCCTGACAGACTACCTCTGTGTTTTGCTTCCAGGTTTTCCTACACTCCTTCCTTTAGAAAAAACAGTCTATCTCCATCTATACCCCACACCCACACACGGCCCTGCGTCAGTGGGCACTGAGTTGGGCAACCTGGAGTCTAATCCTTGTCCTTGACTTCCTCTGTAACTGTGAGCAAGTAGCTCTCCCGCTTTGTGCCTCAATTCCTCTTATGTGTCTCTGTTACATAAGGAGGTTGGGCCAGATCATGGGATCCACAGATGGGTTTCAGGGCATCCACAATCCCCCGCCCGGCAAACTGTATCAGATCTGAGCATGTCTGCTCGCACTTGGGATGAGGGCCATGAGTTGATAGAGAATGCTCCAACTGTGACGACTCAGGAGTCCACAATGCATGGGTCTGTTTCTTGATAAACACTCCCCTTACAGACATTTACAGACATTGGGAAGGGCTTTCATCTTACAGACAGGGGCCCTGCTTCCCTCTGCAGCCTAAAGACCTTGAAGTCCTATGCAGAGTCATTACCTCTGCCCACCTTGAATCCCAGCCACCCCTCCCCGTTTAACCGAGAGTGACCTAGAGCTTAGAATCCCTCCAATCCCAAATCAGGCACCTGGCTTCCTTAAGGCCCCATGCTCCCCAGACCCTTGGCAGGGCCCTTCCTCTGCTTGGGGGCTGGGGCTCTGGCAGCTGGCTCACCTCCTCTGCCCACACCCCATAGCTCCTCAAGCTCCCCTAGGATCCTGGTACCTCAGTGGCAGGACCACAGTGTGCAGGAGGGAATGTCAGACCCTCAAAATTAACACCTCTGTCGGGAAGCTGAGAGCTGGGTAGTCGTGTAGGTGCTGGTGGTCCTCGGTCCAGTCTGAGCGGGGTGCGTCCTTGCAGCCAGCTCTGGCCTCAGCTGATGAGAAGCAAGAATCTTTCCTGCTTTGTCGTGGCTCACAGCCTTTATTTGGGCTGCAACAGGATCCAGGGACAGATGCTAAAAGCACCAGGCCCCAGGGAAGACAGGTGCCCCGGCAGCAGGCCCTTGCAGACAGAAGGGCTTTCACACACACACACACACACACACACACACACACACCCCAGAGTCACCTGGAAATGCTGACAGTCAGTTGCCAGTCGCTTGAGCTTGCTAATTGTATCCTTAGTGCCTAGAATGGGGCCTGTTAGGAATTCAATAGATATTTGTTGAATGGATGGATGGACGGATGGCTGCATGAATCAATGAATTTTCCCCTGGTATCCTTGCTTGACTTATTCATTTCTTCTTTCCTCTTTTCTTTCCTGCCTTTCTTTCTTCCTTCTGCTCCCTCTCTCCCTCCCTCCCTCCACCTTCTCACACCGTCTGAATCTCTATGGATGGAAGATAAATAAGGCAAGGCTCTGTCCTCAAGGAACTCAGCCAGGCCCAAGTCAGACCCGTAAATAAGCCTTTGCGATGCATGATGGGAAATACTCTGGGCGTACCCAGGGGAGGGTGCCACCAGCTCTGCCTGGGGGTGGGGTGGGGGATGGGGAAGGCGCTTCCCGGAGGAGACATTTGATCTGGGCCTGGAAGGCTAGTAGGAGTTCAGTGGGCAGAGGGGCATAGGCCTTGCGGGCAGAGGCCGCGTTGGGTGTAACAATGCCAGGGGTCCACAAGCAGAGCCAGAACTTGCCCGCAGAGCTGAGAGATGGGGCTGGACAGGTGGGCCAGATGACAGCAGGCTCTTCCAGAGGGAAGTATGCTTTAGAAAGGACTGCTGAAGCGTTTAAAGCGGTGGAATGGAGGGGTCACGTTGGCATTTTTCAACTATATCTCTGGGCTGCCGGGTGAAAAATGAGTTGGAGGGGGCCATACTGGAGGCAGGAAGATTTGACTGTGGTCAGGTGAGAGACGGAGAGCCTGCACAGGGGCAGGGATAGAGACCACGGAGAGCATGGAGGAGGGCCCGAGCAGCAGTAGCTGCGGAATCATCAGGTCCTGCTCTGAGATTAGATGTGGGGAGTGCAGGAAAGGCCACTGCGGCTTGAGTGACTGAGGATGGTAAAGGGGGAACCGGTTTGGGGTGGGCGCGGCTACTCAGCTCAGCTTGGAATGAGCTTGATTTGCGGTGTCAGGGATGGGAATCCCCAGTAGGCAGGGGGACGTTGTGCTCAGGAGGGGTTCTGGCTGAAGATAAAGACTGGGTCACTTGCAGGGAAGGGTGGGCTGGCAAGGATGCACTGGGTCCAGGGTGGGCAGCACCGGTACCCGTGTGCCAGGACAGAATGTCCAAGGGCCTGCTTCTGACATGCCCTTAGGAAGAAGCCGGGGCTCTGAGGACTCCAGGAGCTCCACGTTCTGCCCCTTAGCTTCCTGCCCCCAGCCTCTGCTGGGCCTGAGCTTTTAGAGAGGAAGGTGAGGGGTGTTCCCAGGGCAGGCTTGGCCTCATCTGGGAGTGGGGCCACAGTCCCCTTCTCTGGACAAAGGACACCGCCATCAGGTGCGGCGCACTCCTGATTGTCTGGGTCCCGAGCTCACCTGGACTCAGATGGGACCTCTCATAGGGGCTTCTCCTGCTGCATGGAGCCCCAACCTGCCATGAGGAACCTGCCCCACAGCCCTGGGCCCTGACCCAGCTTGGCCCTACCTGCTCCAATGATAGTGGCTTGTGGTGAGGACCGGGGCAATACCACCTCACCCAGCTCACTCTGCAGATAGGGAAGCTGAGGCTAGCTAAGCAGGGGGTTTACTCAGGGTCACCCAGCTGGTAGAAGACAGGATCAGGACCTCAACCCTGGGACCTCATCTATGGCCTGTAGTTGTTCGTTGTTCCCCGTCTCTCTCCATGGTTGCTATGCCCCAAGCTCCCATCCCACCTGTGTCAAACATTCTCGTCCCCGCAGAATCCCTTAGACTGTTCCTAGGGGAGAAGGGAGGGGCTTTAGACGAAGCTGAAAATGACACAGGAGGCAGAAGGACGCAGGAAGCATTTATTGAGGGCCAGAGATGAATTCTGCAGGAGGCAAGAGGCAGAACACAGGCAGTCTCTAGTGGGCTAGAGGGAAGGATGGGGGGAGAAGGCAGTGACAGGAACAGCCAGGCAGAACTGCAGCTTTCCAGGGCTGCCTTCTGCTGGCTCTTTGGGGAAATGCAAGCAGAAGTGGATTTTCTATGCCACTGCATCAACCAGTGGCCTGATAGCGTCTCTTTTGTGAAAGGGGCCCTTAGCCCCAGTCTCCCATGCTACAAAGGAACCCTGAAGCAGATGGGGACTTCATCATCGACCATCATCGACCAAGCAGGAACACTCCCTTATCTTCCCTCTGTCAGGGCCCGTGTTCCCAATCCTTAGGCCCTAGGCACCCTCTGGGATCACTCCTTAATTCCAAAGACCCCCATCTGACTCTCTCCCACCCCGACCCCAGCTTTCCCTAGCCCTCTGTGGGGGTTTCAGGTCTAACATCACCTGGTGTTACCCACCTGGGTGGGTAAGTCTACCCCTAACCCCAAATCACACTCGGTCCCTCACCGTTAGCAACATCCTGGTATCCTTTCTCTTCATCTTTTATCCTGCATCTCTTTGATCCTCAGTCAAGTCCAGTGCCCCATCCCCACCCTCCTCTGTGCTTAGTATCCTGAAGCTGATATTCTGAACCTCTAGAGGGCACCACCAGCCAACTTTGGAAGCTATAGAATTTAGCCGCATTCCTCCCATGTCCCTCCTGGGGATTGGAATGAGAACCACCCAGGTCTAAGGGACAGGCCAGAGTCTGCAGCCAGGCTCCTCAAGGTCACTGGGCACCAAGCACTAGCCAGGCCAGAGTGTAACAGGGAAGAGACGGGGCAGAACAGTGCCCACTCATCTGGGCATGGTATGGATACTGGGGCCTAAAACTGAAGCATGGGGTATTTCCCAAGAAGCCAGAAACACAGGCAGACTCTAACCCCTCCCTCACCCACCCATGCTCATCTGCCCCCAAATTCTGCCCAATTAATCCTCCACCACCATCTGCCTCCCTTCCTAACCCCATGCAATGCATTTCAGGACTGGAAGAGCCCTCAGAGGTCATCTGAGCCAATCCACTTCCTACTAGAATCTCCTCTATGCATCCTGGCTACTGCTGGAATACCTCCCATAACAAGGAACTCTTGCCTCCCCTTTTCCAAGTGGGCCACCTCAAACTCAGGGCCATTAGGTAAAGTCACAGGTGAGCAGATAGCTCCATATCAACTCTTCTTTCCCCAGCTCAGCATTGAGCCTGGAACCTGCCATGAAAGGGCCGAGAAGAGATAGATGGGTTGGAGCACCTACAGCATTCCTGGAGGCCCAAGTCCTGGGGCCGGGGCCATAAGTCATCCCCTTCCAGCTCTCCCCTCTGGCGGCAGATAAGTGGCCCTGACAGTCTGAGCTGGAGCGGGAAAAGCGTGAGAGGGACCTGGGAGGAGGAATCTTTCCACCTCTTGTCTCCTGAGGGGCCAGCGGGGCACCTTGAGCTGGCCTGGGAGACCTCTCTAAAGGTCACCATGGTAAAAATAGAGCTAGTCTGGGAAGGGGTGGCAAGCAGCTGCTCCTGCCTGGGACTTGGTGCCAGGGAGGTGGATGGTCAAGCCAGGGCCCAGGCAGGGGAATGAGGCCTAGGATCTTGTGAACACACCCCTCATTTGCCAGACTCCAGAGAGCAGAGCCAGGAAGGGAGGGAGGAGTGTGGAACCCTGAACCGGAGCGAGTCTAGGGGTCCATATACACAATACCCTGACTCTTTCAAGGCAGGTGTGTGTGGGTGCGTGTGTGCGTGTGTGGGTGTGTGTGTGTATTGATGGGGAGGGGAGGGGAAATTTAGACCTGTGAAGATGGCCTTGGTCCAAGTCTCATTAAACGGATGGGAAGGCTGAGGGGTGGGACAGAGGAAGGGTCTTGCCCAAGGCCACACAAGGGCTAGAACCCAAGCTTGGATCACTACCCCAGCCCCAAGCCCAGAGCACTCCTCCCCTTACCCCTTGTCCAAAGCGGCCAGACCTCACCCCCCCAACCCCTCCACCCCCTGACGTGGTGCTGGGATCTACTAAGCCCCACAACTCTTCTTCTGGCTCAGCCCTCCCGGGGTGGGGACGGAGCGGGAGCGGGGGAGGCTTTAGGTGGTGCAGGAGGTCTCGGCGGGGAGGCTGCCACGCTTGAGCCTCAGGCTGCCGTTCCACCCGCGGGGACAGATGTTGTAGCCGAGGATGCCGGGCGACTTAGCCCCGGAGTCCTCGGAGTCGAGGGACACGTCGGAGTCCGTGGGCGAGCGCCGGTAGGGGAAGGGCCTGGGCGTCGCGGGCAGCGGGCTCCGGGGGCTGGCGCAGGGCGAGGGCCCAGCGGGCAGCGGGCTCCGCGGGATCGGGGCGAACGTGGCCCCGGGGGCGGCGGCGGCGGCGGCGGGGCCGGGCCGGGAGGGCTGCGGCGAACGCAGGCGCGGCGGCGGCGGCAGCGGCGGCGGCGGCACCCCGGGCGGGGAGAAGGGCCGCAGGCTGTCGGCGCCCGCCGGCCGCGGGGAGGCGCTCTTGCGCCGGGCCGCGTTGATGATGTTTCGCGCCAGGAGGGCCTGCAGCTGGCGGCTGGGAGGCCGCCCCTCGGCCTCGGATCGCAGAGGGGATACGGAGCGTTCGCTCCACGAGGGAGACATGGGCGGCGGCGGCGGGAGCGGCGGGGGGCTGCTCATGCTGCTCCCCCGGCCCGGTTCCCACGGCCCCGGGCTCACCCAGCCGTCCAGGCTGCTGGGGGGCCGAGAGGCGCCCGGCGTCCAGGGCGGGGAGGTGGGCAGGCTCTCCCGGCGGTCCTGGGGAGAGAGCACAGAGGGCGGGGCAGGCGTTAGTGCTGGGGTCCTCTAGCCCGGGGTTTCGGGAGGGACTGCGTCTGCTTTGCCCTTGTACAGAGTCGGGAGGGCAGCGACCCGAGTCAGGGAAGTAGTGCCTGCAGTAAAACGCGGGGTGCTCCAGCTCTCAGCCCACATCCTCGGAAAAGCCCGTGCTGCCTGCTCCTGAGCTTAACAGGGAGGCAGGTGACTAGTGGTTAAGAACGCTCGCTTGGGAGACAGACCCGTCTGCTTACTGAACGAACTTGGGCAAGTGGTTTCAGCAACGGAAGCAACCGGAAGCCTCTGGGCTTCAGTTTCCTCCTCTGTGAAATGGGGGTATAATGGCAGCACCTACTCGTTGGGGGCTGTTGTGAGGATTAAATGAGATGACTCATGTAGAAGAACATTACATGGATTGAAAGATTCCCTGGAGGAGAGTAAGTGCTCAGTAGATGTTAGTTACCATAAAGAAACACTGGAAGGATACACATGAAACTAGCCAAAGTGGGTCTCTGTTAGGAAATGGGGCCAACAGGGCAAGGTATGCAGCCACAGGAGTGGGAATAAAGCTTTCATGTATTAC